AGCTATCCATATAGCTAAGAAAAATGCAAAAATGTCCACTACCCCTTCCTCCGAACTTAAATGGGTTATCTATGAAAAAGGGCATATCATACAAGAGGAAGTGTTTACATATTTTTCTTTCATATCTACAGCAATTTCTATAAAATTCCTATAACTGAAATATTATTTTATTTCTCATGACAACTAGGTAAATTAGTTACGTTCCCATAAACATAAAACTACCATAAATAGATCACAATGTACAAAAAGTTTTATACTGAAGTTTATTGCAATTGCTAGACATTTACATTACACTTTTCCTGTGGATTACAGAACATAAGAATAGATAACAGTTATCTAGCATAAGAAACAGAGATGTTTTCTCCTAACTTCTCTATCTTTCTCATGGTAATTTATTAAGAGAGATTAAAGTTGGGGGTAGGAAGGAGAAAGAAGAAGAAAAAGAGATAGAAGAAAGAAAGAGAGGAAGAGGAGAAAAGGTGTAGGTTTCCCCTATTTATTTAGCCAGCAATAACTTTTGTGATGACTTGGTTCCTAAATGTGATGCACATTTCAGGAAGACATCTTAATTAGGTAATTTTTATAAATGCTAAGTGTGAGCAGACTAAATCAAAGGACCTATATAATTAAGTAAAATTAGCCCCACCTGCCCCATTTCTTTATAGACTACATCAAAACCTCTCAGGCAGGTACAAAATATGTTTTTCATCTTAATAAAAGTAACCTACTTATCTTATTTGCCTTTCAAATCATGAGACATCAACATATAAGTGCTTGAAATACATTAAAATAAATTTGCTTTATCATAATTCCTATGTGCCCTCATGTCACAAATATACATAATCTGAGAAATTTTAATATTTTATAGTCAAAGTTACCATAATTATGATAAATATATACCTACATTTGAAATATATACCTACATTTATTAGTATTCTAAATTTACAAATTTTAACAGGTTTTTTTTAATGAACTAAGAAAAATATAGCTATATTGAGAATTTACCAATCAAGAACCGATCTTTTTTCTTCCAAACAGGAATAGGAAACAACTTGGGACCCTGCTACAATATTATGACAAGAAATAAATACACCTAAAAGCTTCAGCTTTTATAAAATTCTATGAATTGTCATCATAGACCTAATCTAGACCTAATCTAAGACAGCTAGATTAGGTATAAAGAATGACATTACTATGATAGGAGATTTTTCATAGCAATGCCAAGTAATCAACAGGGGCTAACAAATGATTGGACACTCCATGGTCCAATGATATTCATTCAATTATAAGCTCTACTATAATGCTAATTCATAGTAGAAAATTTAAGGAAACATATCGTTGATAAGTTTACAAATGATGTTGCCTTTTAAAATGACACCTACTAAACATGGCATTACTAAAACAAAACAAAACAAAAAACCCCCGGCTTTTATTAACAAAAGTTCCTATTCACAAAGTAGACGGGGTTCATGGAAAACACTCCAATAATAGAGACAGTTTTTGTTTTTGAAAGCAAACATTTCTACTTGTTTCAAGTATATACATTGAAGGTTATTCCACAGAAAGTGTAATTCAGTAGGTCCAGAAAGGGCCCAGAAAACTATACTCCATCATGCAATTGTTCTGCTACAAAACCTTTTTGAAAACATTACCCACAGCAGACTGTTTCCACCTTCATATGCTATACCATTTGGGCATGTGCAAATCAGATCAATACACTGATTACAATCCAAAAGTTCCCCTAAGATGTTAAAATAAATTTGTGTACCAAAATTACATTTAATAGTTAATTCTTTGATCTCCATTACAAAAAATTATTCCCAAAGTTATACTTTCATCAACATATTAACAGACAAGAGCAATCACACATATTACAATATTTGTAATAGAATATTCTCTCCCTCCATACTTTAAATATTTTCCTTGACATTTTGCAAACCAAGAGTTAAAAATATGGGAACTTTTGTCATTTACAGATTCACAAGAGTGAAACCATAAGGAGTATCTGTCTCCACAATGATTACAGCAATGGTGACTCCTGATCTTCCAGTGTTTGCAATGAACTAGTCTGTATGCACTTGTCAGTTTATTGACCTGTTTGCATGAAGATGCTGAAAGCTTAATTTATTCCTGGTGCAATTTGAGAGACACCTCAATGATTTCACCTATTTGAAATGCACCAACTCTTTCAACTTAGAGCAAAACCAGATGGGAAAAATGCAGAAGAAACCTGGTTTGAATATGTAAAGCACCAGACTCATGACATGCCCGATTATAGTTCCTAAAGAGTCAAACAAGGCGCTAACTTGTATTTTTCAATCCAATTATTTGCCATAACTCTGGTATCATTTTGCAGTGGAAATCAATCTAAAATTTTTGTGAGATAATTATAAAATAGAATAGGTTATTGTGTATGTTCAGTCTAGATCTGCAACACTTCAGTCTGAAAAATAAATGGAACAGAAAACTGAAGAGTTAAATAAAACATCTATATTACAGAGTTCCTGTGCTCTCTGTAGGACAAGGAGTCAAATATTTGTTTTCTCAGCTGCAATTGTTAAAAATCACCTCAGAAACAAAGTCACCCAGCTGCTTTAAAAGACCTCAGGAATTGGAAAGTCTATCACCTCTCATGGTAATCTTCTCTGTTCAGTGTAAGGATAAGAAGTACTTATTTTTTTTCCTAATAAAATGCTAGCTGAGATTTAAGTTCATTTTTTTCTAGCTCCACAAAAATTGTGAATAGCTAGTCATTCTCCTATTTAAAATCACTCTTATAAAAAAAATAAAATCACTCTTATAACATTGGGATAAATTCTGTCCCCTGTCGTTAGTAGCTGTGGAACATTGGGAAATAATAAAAATGTACATTCCTGAAGTAGAAGAAAAAATGTTAACTGTAATTTCATTGTATCTGTTAGTCTTTAAAGAATTTTTAATTGTGTTGATTTAGTTCATTCTCAAAACAAACCAGTGAGGCTACTTTACTCACTGCAGGCTAGTATGTTATGAGTCAAAGGATAGAGAAACACGTGATAAAAAGAAAACAAAACATCTACCTGATTACATACCAGTAGTTACAAAGATAAACTTAGACAATAAACAAGAAATACTTTTAAAAGCAATAAAACACTGTCAAGGGCAAGGCTGTAACATATGTAATAATATACCTACTATTTGTCCTATGGCGGTGTTTCCCCATCCCATAGGACCCACTTCCATTTTATCTCTAATTTTTCTCTCTGGATATTGTGTATTTTAAAAATACATTAAGAAAACTAAGGAAACAAAATTCGTTATAATAATTCACTAGGTATTTCAATGCCAAGGACAATAACATAATCACACACAGTTCTTATATGTAAATCTCTATCTATTTCTCAATACTCTGTTTCTCCTTTTATAAGTGAAATGAGATTATAAACTTTTATAAGTCTTAGGTCTGCTAAGATTTTATATTTCTATTTTTTATGCAACGTAGTTTCCCTCAAGTATTTCCCATCTTTTTTTTTTTTTTTAAATTTTTTTCAATGATTTTTTAATTTATTTCTAGGAGAGAGAGAGAGACAGCGTGAGCAGGGGAGGGTCAGAGAGAGAGGGAGTCACAGACCGAAACAGGCTCCAGGCTCTGAGCTGGCAGACAGCACAGAGCCCGACACGGGGCACGAACCCACGAACCGCGAGACCACGACCTAAGCGAAAGTCGGACGCTCAACCGACTAAGCCACCCAGGCGCCCCAACCCCATCCTTTTTAATAAAGTTTATTTTCATCTTGTACATTGTTCTTTTTACCTTCCACAAACGACTTTTACCTGCTGCTTAAGAAAGCATTTGTCCAGTTTAAGGCAATTTACATCTTAGCCAATATTCCTATGCCTATCGTTGCTGACCCATAATAAGAACCCAATACATTTCTGATGAATAAATGAATGAATATGTTTTAAAAATGACCTTTCAAAATTTTAACAACTCAATGGAACATGTGATGGATGTTTGAGTGCATGTTTTTTCCACCTTTCAGTAAAGTCCCATGTTTAATCTTCTTACCAAATGAGCTGGATGGGGATACTGACCATTCTTTGTTGGAAAAACTGACAAAGTATTCTATGTGTTTTATGAACATTAACTCATTAATTCTTCCCTACAACATTAAGAATTTATGAGGAAGCTGAGGCAAAGAAGTGTGAAGTGACTTGGTCAACAAAATCCAAGAGGTGATAAGTGGTAAATCCAAACCTATACCTAGGCACGCCAAACCCAAACTTTTCCAGGTGTTATGTTAATGAGAAAAGTCCTTTTAAAACTCCATATTCTAATAGCATTATTTAAAAGTAAAAGTTTATATTAATTTCCACTGGAAGTTTCACAATACCAGTTCAAATTCTAATTGATTGAGGTGATTGTACACAGTCACAGAAAAGACAGTCCATTCCCACGCTCTCTCTTTGCTCTTTCATTTAGCAATTCCTTCTTAATATGTTTGCAGTTATTCTGAGGTCTATATTACTAAACACAAGCTAACTTAAGTTGGAATCCTGCTCATGTTTTGACATTTTCTACAAAAATACTTTTCTAAAAACACCTACCTGAAATTACCAATTAACTTTCTTGACTTGAAACAGGATAAGAGAGAGATTCTTCTACTTAGCTTTGGAATTACAAAACACTTTTAGCAATTTAGATCATAAATTTTTATATGAAGAATCTAATATTTCTCAGAATGTTTTGAACAGGATATGGGCATGCTTGTGACATTTATGAATACGATATCTTAAGGAACTACAATTTTGATGCAATATAAACAAACATAACATGTGAACATATTGCATTTTAAAGTGTGCGTTTACTAAAAGCTTTTCAGATATCACAGACTTCTGAGGAAAAAAAGGTGCCTTGTGCCTACTTATACTATAGAAATCATTTGGTCTACAAGAAAGTTAAAGTCTTTTTAAACATTAACTGTGGATAACAGACATAAAACAGTGAGATAGCTCCATACCTGTTTTGTTGGAAAGTCTAAATGACACCATCTTATCAGGAATATTACATACATTCCTCACTGACGCAATGCAGCTATAATTAGCATAGTCCTGAGGTCGAAGATTCTTTAGTTTTAAGATCTTGGTTTCACCCTGAAAATGCAGAAAAGGTCATTAGAAACAGTCAATAGTAACCAGAATGAATGAATGGGTGAATCATGAAATTATACTGCATTAAATCATATTATTATCAAAGCGTAGTAGACTGTCTTATTTTTAAGGAAAATGTTCTTAAACAGAAACAAACATAAAAACAAAAATTAAAAAAAAAGACATTTAAAAACAATACTGTAATGTGCCTGGAGATAAAATCTAAGAGACTATAATGAAAATTCATAACCTTTTCTTTGCAAACTAGCTTCCTAGGGGAAGAAATCTTTTTCTGGTGGTGGTTATGCAAATTATTATGCAAAGATCAGAACAGTGTACTTAATAATAGAGTTTACTCAACAAATACTGCAATATATATAGCCTTCAACATGAAATGTTTTGAAAGAAAAGGATTCTGAAGAAGAGCTAATAAATGGAAAACTGTTGTTAGAACAAAGTTATTGAAATCAATCTAATGACAGGCAGTTAAATTTATAAACATAAATATTCTGTGTATAAGTATCAATGATAGATGACAGATATAGAGCTGACTTAAAAAAGCATTCATGAATATTTCTAAATCATTATTGTCCTTGCTATTTTATGTTCAGGAGTTAAAGGACTAGATCTTCCAGGTAAATCTGCAAAATTATAGATAAGATTCAAATCAAGCAAGCCAGACTAAGTCATGATAAGCCAGGAAAGACCATGTAAAACACTGGAATTAGTCAAAATGTCAAAGAGGAAACTAACAACAATAAAAATTAAAGAAAAAAAATCTACTGCCTAAATTAAAATAGGTCTCTTGAGATTTCTGTTATATTCTAAGGTCATTAATGCATCTTTTCAAAATAGTTCCTCTCATAAGTAACTGAATTATGGAAATGGTAAGCAGTATCCCAGTGAAGTCATATTTGGTATAGTTATTTTCAAAATGTCATTTTTCCCAGATAACATCTACAGATAACAATGTGTAACATCTCTCAAATCCTAAAAATTGCAATACTTTCATATACTCTTCAGAAGGTTTGGGATACTTAGTGACAAGACATATAAGCACTGCCTGCTCATTTGCAAAAAAAAGGCATGCTCACAGATAGGCTTTAACGATTCTGACAGGTGTGAGATGATATCTCATGGCAGTTTTGATCTGTATTTCCCCGATGATGACTGATGTTGAGCATTTTTTCATGTGTCTGTTAGCCATCTGGATGTCTTTTTTAGAGAAGTGTCTATTCAAGTCTTCTGCCCATTTCTTCACTGGATTATTTGTTTTTGGGGTGTTGAGTTTGACAAGATCTTTATAGATTTTTGGATACTAACACTTTATCTGATAATATCAATTGTAAATATCTTCTCCAATTCCATTTGTTGCCTTTTAGTTTTGGTGATTGTTTCCTTGGTTGTGCAGGAGCTTTTTATCTTGATGAGGTCCCAATAGTTCATTTTTGCTTTTGTTTCCCTTGCCTCCGGAGACATGTTGAGTAAGAAGACGATGTGGCCATGGTCAAAGAGGTTTTTGCCTAGTTTCTCCTCTAGGATTTTGATGGCTTCCTATCTTACATTTAGATCTCTCATCCATTTTGAGCTTATCTTTGTGTATGGTGTAAGAAAGTGGTCTTGGTTCATTCTCCTGCACGTTGCTGTCCAGTTTTCCCAACACCATTTGCTGGAGAGACTTTTTATCCATTGGATATTCTTTTCTGCTTTGTCAAAGATTAGTTGGCCACACATTTCTGGGTTCTCTATTCTGTTCCATTGATCTAAATGTCTGTTTTTGTGACAGTACCAAACTTTCTGGGATTGTGATGCCTCCAGAATTGGTTTTCTTTTTCTGGATTGCTTTGGCTATTCAGGGTCTTTTCTTGTTCCATACAAATTTTAGGATATTTTACTAGCTCTGTGAAGAATGCTAGTGTTATTTTGATAGGGATTGCATTGAATATGTAGATTGCTTTCAGTAGTATCAACATTTTAACATTATTTGTTCCTGCAATACATGAGCATAGAATATTTTCCCCTTTTTTTGTCCTTTCTTCAATTTCTTTCATAAGCTTTCTATACTTTTCAGCATATGGATTTTTCACCTCTTTGGTTAGGTTTATTTCCAGGTATTATATGGGTTTTGGTGCAAGTGGAAATGGGACCACTTGATTTCTCTGTTTGTTGCTTCATTATTGGTGTATAAGAATGCAACCGATTTCTGTACATTGATTCTGTACCCTGCGACTTGGCTGAATTCTTGGATCCGTTCTAGTGGGCTTCTGGTGGAGTGTGTCGGGTTTTCTATGTAGAGCATCGTGTCATCTGCAAAGAGAGCTATTTTGACTTCCTGCTTGCTGATTTGGATCCCTTTTATTTCTCTGTGTTGTCTGATTGCTGAGGCTGGGACTTCTAATACTATGTTGAATAACAGTGGTGAGAATGGGCATCCCTGTCATTTTCCTAACCTTAGGGGGGAAGCTTTCAGATTTTCCCCACTGAGGATGATATTAACAGTGGATCATTCATATAAGGCTTTTATGATCTTGAGGAATGATCCTTCTATCCCTACTTTTTTGAGGATTTTTATTAAGAAAGGAAGCTGTATTTTGTCAAATGCTTTCTCTGGATCTATTGAGAGGATCATGTGGTTCTTGTCCTTTCGTTTATGAATGTGATGTATCACATTGGTCAATTTGTGGGTAATGAACCAGTCCTGCATCCCAGGTACAAATTTCACTTAATCATGGTGAAAAATTCTTTAATGTATTGTTGGATCCAGTTGGCTAGTATCTTGTTGAGGATTTTTGCCTCCATGTTCATCAGGGAAATTGGTCTATAGTTCTCCTTTTTCATGGAGTCTTTGGTTTTGGAATCAAGGTGATACTGGCCTCATAGAATGAGTTTTCAAGTTTTCCTTCCATTTCTATTTTTTGGAACAGCTTCAAAAGAATAGGTGTTAACTCTTCTTTAAATGTTTGGTAAAATTCCCCTGGAAAGCCATCTGGACCTGGACTCCTGTATTTGGGGAGAGGTTTGGTAACTAATTCAATTTCTTTAATGGTTATGGGTCTTTTTCAAATTTTCTATCTCTTCCTATTATAGTTTTGGTAGTTTATTTGGTTCTATAAATTTGTCCATTTCTTCCAGATTGCCCTATTGTCATATAATTGCTAATAACATTACCTTATTATTGTTGGTATTTCTGCAGTATTCATTGTTTTAGAGTTTCTGCTTTAATATTTATCATTTACCATCTTCTGCTGGTTTTGGATTTTATTTGCTGCTCTTTTTCCAGGTTAGGTTGTATAGCTGGGATCTTTGTTCCTTCTTTAAGAAGGCCTGGATTGCTGTATATTTCCCTCTTATGAATGCCTTTGTGGCAACCAAGCGATTTTGGTCTGTGGTGTGACCGTTTTCACTGCCTTCCTTGTACTTTTTAATTTCTTCCTTAATTTCTTGGTGAACACATTCAATTTTTTAGTATGATGTTTTTTAGTCTCCAACTATTTGTTGTCTTTCCAAATTTTTCTTGCTGTTAACTTCTAGTTTCATAGAGTTGTGGTGTAAAAATATGCATAGCATGATCTCAATCTTTTTTGTACTTGTTGAGGGCTGATTTGTACCCAGTATGTGATCTGTTCTGGATCTGATCTGTATCTGATCTGTGTTCCATGTGCACTTGAGAAGAATGTGTATTCTTCTGCTTTAGGATGAAATGTTCTGAATATATCTGCTATGTCCATCCGGTCCAGTGTGTCATTCAAAGCCATTGTTTCTTTGTTGATTTTCTGTTTATCTGTCCATTGCTGTAAGTGGGATGTTGAAGTTCCCTACTATTATGGTATTACTGTCAATGAGTTTCTTTATGATTCTGCTTGATTTATATATTTAGGTACTTCGACTTTGGGAGCATAATTGTTAGATATTCTTGGTGGACAGACCACTTAATTATGATATAATGCCCTTATCCATCTCTTGTTACACTGTTTACTTTAAAATCAGGATTGTCTGATATAAGTATGGCTACTCTGGATTTCTTTCAGCGACTATTAACATGATAGATGGTTCTCTATCCCCTCAATATGAAGGTGTCTTTAGCTGTAAAATGAGTCTCCTGTAAATAGCATATAGATGAATTTTGTTTTCTTATCCATTCTCGTATGCTATGTGTTTTGGTTGGAGAATTTAGTCCATAGACATTTAGAGTGAATACTGAAAAATATGAACTTACTGACATTTTAGTGTCTGTAGACTTGGACTTTCTGGTGGTGTTCTCTGGTTCTTTCTAGAATTTGTTACTTTCAGTCTTTTTTGTTTTGTCTTTTCTGCCCTCAGAGAATCCCCCTTAAAATTTCTTGTGGGGCTAGTTCAGTGGTCACAAGCTCCTTTAGTTTTTGTTCGTCTGGGAATCTCTTTATCTCTCCTTTTTTGAACAACAGCTTTGCTGGATAAAGAATTCTTGGCTGCAATTTTTTCTAATTCAGTACTTTGAATGTATCCTGCTACTCCTTTCTGGCCTGCCAAGTTTCTATAGATAGGTCTGCTGCAAACCTGATCTGTCTTCCATTATAGATTAAGGACTTTTTTTTTTTTTTTCTTCCCTTTGCTGCTTTCATGATTCTTTCCTTGTATGTGTATTTTGTGAGTTTAACTATGATATGCCTTGTTGATGTTTGTTTGTTTGTTTTTTTAATCTAATGGGAGTTCTCTGTGCTTCCTGCATTTTGATGTCTGTGCCTTCCCAGGTTAGAAAATTTTTCCACTATGATTTGCTCACATAAATCTTATACCCCTTTTTCTCTTCATCTTCTAGGACCCCTGTGATTCAGATGTTATTCCTTTTTAATGAGTCATCAAGTTCTCTAATTCTTATATGATGCTCTTTTGCTTAAGTTTTGCTCTTTTTTTCTGCTTCTTCATTCTCCATAATTTTGTCTTCTATATCACTCATTCACTGATTTGCTGCATCCATCCTTGCCAGCAGGGCTATCATTCAAGATTGCATCTCAGTTATAGCA